AATGTTAATTTTGTTGCAGAAACAAAAGTTAGTGGACAAAGATAAGACTGCACGACAGATTCATCTTTTGATAAGTCTACATGTCAGATTCACCTATTTGTAAGCCTGCATGACAGATTCATCTATTGGTCAGCTTGCACGACAGATTCATCTATTGGTAAGTCTGCATGTCAGATTCATCTATTGGTAAGTCTGCATGTCAGATTCATCTATTGGTACGCTTGCATGTCAGATTCATCTATTGGTAAGTCTGCATGTCAGATTCATCTATTGGTAAGCTTGCACGACAGATTCATCTATTGGTAAGTCTGCATGTCAGATTCATCTATTGGTAAGTCTGCATGTCAGATTCATCTATTGGTAAGCTTGCACGACAGATTCATCTATTGGTAAGTCTGCATGTCAGATTCATCTATTGGTAAGTCTGCATGTCAGATTCATCTATTGGTAAGCTTGCACGACAGATTCATCTATTGGTAAGCTTGCACGACAGATTCATCTATTGGTAAGTCTGCATGTCAGATTCATCTATTGGTAAGTCTGCATGTCAGATTCATCTATTGGTAAGTCTGTCAGATTCATCTATTGGTAAGTCTGCATGTCAGATTCATCTATTGGTAAGTCTGCATGTCAGATTCATCTATTGGTAAGCTTGCATGACAGATTCATCTATTGGTGCATGTCAGATTCATCTATTGGTAAGCCTGCATGTCAGATTCATCTATTGGTAAGTCTGCATGACAGATTCATCTATTGGTAAGCTTGCATGACAGATCCATCTATTGGTAAGCTTGCACGACAGATCCATCTATTGGTAAGCTTGCACAACAGATCCATCTATTGGTAAGCTTGCACAACAGATTCATCTATTGGTAAGTCTGCATGTCAGATTCATCTATTGGTAAGTCTGCATGTCAGATTCATCTATTGGTAAGTCTGCATGTCAGATTCATCTATTGGCAAGTCTGCATGACAGATTCATTTATTGGTAAGCTTGCATGACAGATCCATCTATTGGTAAGCTTGCATGTCAGACAGATGTCATCTATTGGTAAGTCTGCATGTCAGATTCAGATTGGTAAGTCTGCATGTCAGATTCATCTATTGGTAAGTCTGCATGTCAGATTCAGATCTGCATGTCAGATTCATCTATTGGTAAGTCTGCATGTCAGATTCATCTATTGGTAAGCTTGCACGTCAGATTCATCTATTGGTAAGTCTGCATGTCAGATTCATCTATTGGTAAGTCTGCATGTCAGATTCATCTATTGGTAAGCTTGCATGTCAGATTCATCTATTGGTAAGTCTGCATGTCAGATTCATCTATTGGTAATGACAGATCTATTGGTAAGTCTGCATGTCAGATTCATCTATTGGTAAGCTTGCACGACAGATTCATCTATTGGTAAGTCTGCATGTCAGATTCATCTATTGGTAAGTCTGCATGTCAGATTCATCTATTGGTCAGCTTGCACGACAGATTCATCTATTGGTAAGTCTGCATGTCAGATTCATCTATTGGAGCTTGCACGACATCTATTGGTAAGCATGTGCATGTCAGATTCATCTATTGGTAAGTCTGCATGTCAGATTCATCTATTGGTAAGCTTGCATGACAGATTCATCTATTGGTAAGTCTGCATGTCAGATTCATCTATTGGTAAGTCTGCATGTCAGATTCATCTATTGGTAAGTCTGCATGTCAGATTCATCTATTGGTAAGTCTGCATGTCAGATTCATCAGATTCATTCATCTATTGGTAAGATTCATCTTGCATGACAGATTCATCTATTGGTAAGTCTGCATGTCAGATTCATCAGAACAGATTCATCTATTGGTAAGTCTGCATGTCAGATTCATCTATTGGTAAGCTTGCACGACAGATTCATCTATTGGTAAGTCTGCATGTCAGATTCATCTATTGGTAAGTCTGCATGTCAGATTCATCTATTGGTAAGTCTGCATGTCAGATTCATCTATTGGTAAGTCTGCATGTCAGATTCATCTATTGGTAAGCTTGCATGACAGATTCATCTATTGGTAAGTCTGCATGTCAGATTCATCTATTGGTGTCAGATTCATCTATTGGTAAGTCTGCATGTCAGATTCATCTATTGGTCAGCTTGCAAGACAGATTCATCTATTGGTAAGTCTGCATGTCAGATTCATCTATTGGTAAGCTTGCACGACAGATTCATCTATTGGTAAGTCTGCATGTCAGATTCATCATCTATTGGTAAGTCTGCATGTCAGATTCATCTATTGGTAAGTCTGCATGTCAGATTCATCATCTATTGGTAAGCTTGCACAACAGATTCATCTATTGGTAAGTCTGCATGTCAGATTCATCTATTGGTAAGCTTGCACGACAGATTCATCTATTGGTAAGTCTGCATGTCAGATTCATCTATTGGTAAGTCTGCATGTCAGATTCATCTATTGGTAAAGCTTGCACGACAGATTCATCTATTGGTAAGCTTGCACATGTCAGATTCATCTATTGGTAAGTCTGCATGTCAGATTCATCTATTGGTACAGTCTGGCATGTCAGATTCATCTATTGGTCAGCTTGCACGACAGATTCATCTATTGGTAAGTCTGCATGTCAGATTCATCTATTGGTAAGTCTGCATGTCAGATTCATCTATTGGTAAGCTTGCATGTCAGATTCATCTATTGGTAAGTCTGCATGTCAGATTCATCTATTGGTAAGTCTGCATGTCAGATTCATCTATTGGTAAGCTTGCACGACAGATTCATCTATTGGTAAGCTTGCATGACATTCATCTATTGGTAAGCTTGCAAGACAGATTCATCTATTGGTAAGTCTGCATGTCAGATTCATCTATTGGTAAGTCTGCATGTCAGATTCATCTATTGGTAAGTCTGCATGTCAGATTCATCTATTGGTAAGCTTGCACGACAGATTCATCTATTGGTAAGTCTGCATGACATTCATCTATTGGTAAGCTTGCAAGACAGATTCATCTATTCCTAGTTGTTCCCATAACAGGAAGTATAACCACAACAGACTGAAATTCCTGCAATTTTGTACTGACTAGACAACATATGAAATACTAAAGGTGATAAACACATACTGTTAATTCACATTGCCAGTAATATGATCTTAACTCCTTAAAAATATTCTGTGTGCATTCATCCAAAACCAAACCTCACATTTCTTAAAATGACACAACCAAAGTTAGCTTTACTGGTAGTACAAACTCTTCTTCAAAGATCCATTGTTGACTTACACATTATCTATTGCTAATATGTTTGCTTAAGGATGACTTATTGCTCAAACTGGTTATTTGTTTGGTGATAACATTGTCATGTAGCTGAAGTCTAATGTTTTGTTTAGAGATAAGTTGCTGTATTCATTGTTTAAAGAGGATTTCAGCAACAATATCAATAGTAAAATCCACTGTTGGTTTGGAGAGGACTTCAACAGCCCAATCCACTGTTAGTTTGGGGTGAACTTCAACAGCCCAAATCCACTGTTGGTTTGGGGAGGACTTCAACAGCCAAAATCCACTGTTTGTGTGGGGAGGACTTCAACAGCCAAGATCCACTATTTGGAATAGACTTAAACAGTTAAGATTAAAGGTTGGGGAGGACTTGAACAGTTGAGATTCACTGTTTGTTTGGGGAGGACTTGAACAGTCAAGATCCACTGTTTGTTGGGGGAGGCCTTGAACAGTTACGATTCACTGTTTGTTTGGGGAGGACTTGAACAGTCAAGATCCACTGTTTGTTGGGGGAGGCCTTGAACAGTTGAGATTCACTGTTTGTTGGGGAGGCCTTGAACAGTTAAGATTCACTGTTTGTTTGGCGAGGACTTAAACTGTTAAGATTCACTGTTTGTTGGTGGAAGACTTGAACCGATAAGATCCACTCTTTGTTTGGGAAAGTTGAACAGTTAAGATCCACTCTTTGTTAGGGGAGGACTTGAACAGTTAAGATTCACTGTTTTTTGTGGGGAAGACTTGAATAATCAAGATCCACTTTTTCTTAATGAGGACTTGAATTCTTAAGATCCATTGTTTGTAAGGGGAAAGTTGAACAGGTTAGATCCAAAGTCTGTTGGTGGAAGACTTGAACCATTACGATCCACTGTTTGTTGGGAAGGACTTGAACAGTCAAGATCCACTGTTTGTTTGGGGAGGACTTGAATAATCAAGATCCACTGTTTGTTTGGGGATGACTTGAACAGTTAAGATTCACTGTTTGTGTGGGGATGACTTGAACAGTTAAGATTCACTGTTTGTTGGTGGAGGACTTGAACAGTCAAGATCCACTGTTTCTTAAGCAGTACTTGAACACTTAAGATCCATTGTTTGTAGGGGGAAAGTTGAACAGGTTAGATCCAATGTCTGTTGTGGAAGGTCTTATGGAGCATGGAGGCAATAACTTGATATGCTCCATGTTTTGGGATAACCAATCGCCAATTACTAGCTTTTTGCTAGAGCTGATCTGAATAGCTAGAATACATTGCTTCGTGATGAGTTAAATTGCTGACCTTGGAAGGACGGCATCAGCTATGATAAACTATTTTCTGGGAATTACCTCAACTGCAAAGATGTATTATTTGTTGACACATCCAACTACAAAGATCCACTGTTCCAAAATATCTTCAAAAGCGAAGACCAATTGTTCAGGGGCAACTTCAAATAAGAAGATCCATTATTCTGGAATAAGACTTAAACAATCAAGACCTATTGTTAATTTGTATAGGACTACAACTGTTAAGATCCAATTTTCAGTGATTGGAAAGCTGACCTCAATATGTAAGATCCCTTGTATATCTGGATATGACCTGAATAGGGATATCAATTAAGAGCATATATCTGTCCGAAGACCATCCCATACAGACAATTCAGCCTGTGTCACTATTATATAAGAGACTGCATTACCAAACATCACACCTGTAATCTCCACAGAATGTGTCCATGAGGTAAATTAATGTCTGTTGGAGACCTGTACAAAAGATCACATGTTGTCAATCAATGTCTAGCTCGTCTGATGACACCTGTACATTGGGGGTCTCCAGGGCTTTTGATTTAAATGTATCTACAGAAGAGTTACTCAAAGGGTCATCCTCAGCCTGGGACAGATCAGCCAAGTCAAACAGGTCTGGGATCACATCGTCCGATGGCTTGTACTGTATCAGCTCATTACCTGTCAATGACAATATAGTGATGTAATGAAGGACAATTTTTGTAACTGGATAAACTGGAACCTTTATTGTAGAGGATATATAGCATTCATAGCATAATAGATCATTAATAATCATATCCTTAAGTCAACCTAAAATCCTACAAGTCAACACACTATCTAAATAGGAAATAGCATAAGATGAATTAATCTGATCCTTTGTTAAAAACCCAATACTTCTGAAAATTATAAAATAAAGAACACCTGCCTAGAATCAAAGCCGACTTTGCTGGATCCTCCTCCTCCTTGACTGGTGCTGTAGATGCCTCACTTGAAAACTATCAGAAAAAAAAAAGAAGTTTATCAAGACATTCAAATGTGATGCAGAAAACCCAAGACTTTTGATGAAAAAACAAAACAAATAAAAAAGGAGACTGAATATTACTAAACTGAAGGCATATAGAATATCATCGTAACAGGAAAGTCACATTCAATTACATGATAACAGATTACCAGCAAATTCTACCTACCCCTTCTGGACTGATGGTAACTGGGGAATCGGGATTAAACAACTGAAACAGAAAAAGTTACATCAGCACATTTATCAAGAAAAACACAAATAAATGCCACATAGTACAAAAACATTGAAGACTGACTACATAACACACATACAAAACATCAAACAGATTAAAATCAAAATGTTACCGATATAACAACAAGAGACCCAGAGCCAGAGGGCCTGTATTGCTCACTTGGATATTCAAGTTAATAATACAAAACTTTACATTTCTTTAGATGGAAAATATTTCCCCTGATGAGCCTCATCCCACAAATACAGCTTCAAATTTCCTAGGGGTGGGAACAGAGATCACTTGTTAACCTCTTGATGGTCAGCAATGCTATTAAGTTATAGGATGGTTATCTTAACGGCTTCAATAATACAATCTGTCCTGGGATGGGACCAGACCCCAGGACAAATTATCAGTTATGATTGTGTTTATCTCCTGATGCTCAGCAATGCTATACCTATTCAGTGTGGATCACAATTTATTCAAAGAACTAAAGATCAAAATGAATTGTTGATGATGCAAAGCAATGATATGAAAATGAACTTAATCTACATGGGGGTTAGATTTTCCCTGTTGTGGTTGGCCCTGCCCATCTGGACCCAGGGGACCGAAACCCATTTATATAAAACTGATTGCCCTTCACCCAAGCATGCTTCAGACCAAATTTGGACAATATCCTGCAAAGCCTTAAGAACAAGAGCAAGATAGATTTTATAGTAATTGATAAGATTTTCTCTCCTGCAATTGCAACATATAATACAAGAGGCCCAAAGGGCCTTAACGGTCACCTGAGGAATATATGTCAATAATCTGGGGATTTTAAAATGTTGCAAAAATGTACCAACACTTGTGCAGGACCATGTGTAAAACATCTGTACCAAGTTTGAACATGACACACCCAATGGTTCTTGAGAGGAAGTCCATAATGTCTTAGCCAAACAGAGGCCAGGGTGGCCATCTTGGATTTTGAATCGCCCCAAAAAGTTAAAACACTTGCCAGGACCTTGTGTAGAACATTCGTATCAAGTTTCCCCTTTTTCTCCCTCCTGGGGCCATGCCCTTTTTCTTCGCAAACTTGAAGTGGCTTCCCATGGGGATGCTTTGTGCCAAGTTTGGTCAAAATCCATCTACTGGTTCTTGAGAAGTAGTCATTTAATGAAGGTTTTTACATATGGCCCCTTTTACACCCCTTATGGGCCCCAAAATTGACATAATTACTTTTTTCAACATAATTTCATATGTACTTCACTAAGGGATGCTTTCTACTAAATTTGGTTGAAATCTGTCAAAGTTGAATTTTTTACCCTTTTGAGCGGCCCCTCGTGGGGCCACTTTTGACCTGATTTTTTTTTTCATTCGCAAACTTTGTAGACCTGGCCATAAGGACCCTAAATATCAAATATGAATTTAATCTGACGGTTGGGTCATGAGAAGAAGATTTTTAAAGGTTTACCTAATTTTACCCCCTTTTTCCCCTCCTGAGGTCCCTATTGGGGCCACACCCTTTTTCTTCGCAAACTTGAAGTGGATTCACATGGGGATGCTTTGTGCTAAGTTTGGTCAAAATCCATCCAATGGTTCTTGAGAAGAAGTCATTTAAAGAAGGCTTTTACATATGGCCCCTTTTATACCCCTAATGGGCCCCAAATGGGACATAATCACTTTTTTCAACATAATTTCATATGTCCTTCACTAAGGAATGCTGTCTACCAAATTTGGTTGAAATCGATCAAAGTTGATTTTTTGACCCTTTTGAGTGCCCCCTAGTGGGGCCGTTTTTGACCCAATTTTTTTTCATTCGCAAACTTTGTAGACCATGCTATAAGGACCCTAAAAATCAAATATGAACTTAGTCTGACTGTTGGTTCATGAGAAGAAGATTTTTAAAGATTTACCTAATTTTACACCCTTTTTCCCCCTCCTGGGGCCCCTATTGGGGCCATGCCCTTTTTCTTCGCAAACTTGATGCGGCTTCCCATGGGGATGCTTTGTGCCAAGTTTGGTCAAAATCTATTCAGTGGTTCTTGAGAAGAATTTGAATATGTGAAAAGTTAACGCTCACGACCACAGACAAATCATGATGGCAATCGGTCACCATGAGCCTTCGGCTCAGGCGACCTAAAAAGTTGACAGACGCTGGATGCCATGGTATCCTCATTCAGCTCCTGTTGAGCTAAAACTTGTTTAACAGCAATATTAACTTATATTAATCATTCTTGGTTTGGATGGACATATATTCTCGCTGGTGGAAACCAGAGTAGTAGGAGAAAACCTCTGTGGTTTTTCAAGTGATACCACCTGCTTACTAATCAAGCTGAAAGTTGAATGTGTCACTACTGCGCTTCCCACATGTATAAACAATATATAAAACACACACATTTTCACACAGACAAAAATTAATTGTCAGCTCTATTCTGGGTTTATTACCACTCATCATTCAACTTTTTGTGTTGTGTAATGTTTTTGTGAAAATATGTAGGAATTTTTGTTGTTGTTGTTTAATCATAGGTAAGAAATTATGCATTTCTTGAAGAAATAATAAGTAATTTTTCAGAACAAAATAATTCAGGGGACAAAACTTGGGTGGTACTGACCCCTAAAAGAAAATTTGGGTCGACGGAATACTGGCCGCCACAAAGAGCATCTTTTAGACTGTCAATATCAAACTGTAGGCTATCCAAGTGGTCTGACATCTCTGACCTGAAACATAAAGATAGTATTAATATTGTCAGGACAAAAAAGTATGCAAAATCAAACTTGTAAATCATCCATTATTTCATACCCTAATAACAAAAGTGTAATCAAGCTTCTGTAATCTGTACAACTCTAAATCTGATTCCTAATATGACAGAATTGAAAAAATCCTAAGCATTATCTTATTTTACACTATGGGGGTTTCAATTAGTATTCCTTTTAGAGTCCTAAATGTACACTCTAAAATGCATTCACAAAGAAAACAAATTCATCAGAATAATTTAGGAACAAAAGCAAATTTACCAAGCATTAATAATACAAAAGTTGCCATAACACGGAGAAAAAATCAGCTTTAATTTCTCTACATTCAAAATCTCTTTCCATCTAATATATTTGAAAGATGTTCATTTTAAAATGCCTGACAATACAAAATCTAATTGAAATGTAACAAAGCATGATCTTTTATGCAAAAAAGTCAAAGCGTTAAATAAAATGAGCAGAGTACAGCAAAATTGCCTATAACTTGTAAGAAATAAAGAAGTATCTGGCCACTGGTTTACAAAATGATTAATGACTGTCATAGAAAAGGAAAAGAAGATACCTTTTTTCAAGCATTTGTGATGGTGATGTAATTTTTCAACTGACAAAATTTTTGATAACAGTTAATGTTAAGGAGACTCGACCCTCATAATACACAAGTAATGTTTGCACACATATGGTGATGTAACTTCCTATTTGTGAACCAGGCATTTTGCTTTGAGGTGTAAAATTTTGTGTTGCACAAAAGAGAACTCTTCTGGTATGGAATGTATGTCATGATGTCAACAATAACAAAAAGAGATGAGATGGGATGGTTTACGCCTTTGAAAAGTGGTTCTGATGAAAGTAGAATTCTATAGGCTGTCATGACCATTTGTATTCCAAGCTAACAAAGTCCGATGACATAAAAGACATTGACACATGGTCAAACTCATTCATGACTGCCAAGTAATGAGAGTGAGATAGGATTTGACAACAATAATCGTTTATAGAGAGGACAACACTGAACATATTCCTTGGTTGTTTGTTTGAAACCAGATGGGTGGTACAGGTATACTTGGCCACTGTTTAATACAATAAATTTTTGAATGCCCAATAAATACAAATATCATTGTTCATCACACTGTTATAATAAAAGTGTGAAAAATGTAATTATTACAACTGTATATATGCATAATGTATGTGTTATGTAATAATACTACCCACTCAAAACGTTCCTGATAAATGTAAGGTAGACAACCTACTCCCAGAACATTTCCATATGTTAATTTACAAATGTATGACAAAACCCATTCTGTGATACTTTGTGTCAATTTTTTACTTGTGGTTTTTACAACTACATACAATATAAGTATTTTAAGAATAAATATTGAAGTCTATCTGCTTAATTCAAATTTAATCCACCTTGAAAATATCATTATGTTTGTTTTTTCACAATGAAACATTTGTAAAGTAGATAGATATTTCTTTTTCCAGTGTATTTTTCTTTATAATTTTCAAGAACCTTATATGAAAAAAAAAATAAAAAAAATCAATTTTGGAGAATTACGAGTTGGAATGCTTTGATTTTCAAAAAATACACATGGTAGAATGATCATTATGTTAAAGTTTCAAGAAAATCTAGCAGTGTGTTGTGAAAGGGTCGAGCCTCCTTTGTTTTTCAGTGGATGAGCATAATGAAAAAAATTTCATCACCATTTCATATTTCTAACACTTAACTACAAACCGGCTATGACCGGAATATTGAATTCTTGATACCTGAATCATCAAGGTCAATAACCTGAAGTATAGTTTTGTAACATGCATGTCCTGGTCTACAGAAGGTACATCCATGGCTATAACGAAGATTGGTTAAAAAGTAGTACAAAAATACACCCCATAAATCATACACTTTTCTGATTTATCCAGTCAAAATTCAGTCCCTATGTAGATCTCACCAGGATTTCTACAAAATTTGGGAAAGCATTTTATAAAATATTGTTTATAAATTTTCCTTCAAATATGGACTTTTTACATAAATTTCAGTAGCAAGTAAGCATGGAATTTATTAACCAACCCCAATCATGGTTTCAGCTGAGAACACTTACAAAGAAGGCTGTCTACTGAGAACGGGTGGGTTTTGTGGGGCTACACTAGAGTTGCTGCAAAGAAATACATATATGTATTAAGTATATCATGACTTCACATAACACACACAATTCAAAGGCAAGGTTCAAACATCAAGCTCAAAACAATGGTAAAAAAGAATAAATTGAAAAAGAAATGTTTGTACAAGACAATATTAGGTTTGAGAGATCTTGGCACCTATCAATGAAAGAGGAATGAATTTTACTTATACAGGTATACAGGTTGTATATTCTTGAACAAGATCTTGTACAAGTCTCAAAGGAATCATGCAAACCATTGATATAAAACTTGCAGACATGCAGACTGGGACAGTAGGACCGTGCATGCAAAATATAATTATGATCCGTGATGTATTGATGAAGTGATCTGACAAATAGAAGAATAATTTAAAATACCAAATTAATTCAAATGTATGCCATTCCTGTTCAATTACATTTCATGCAGATAATACCAATTGTTAGGTAAAACTCACTTTGAGAACTGGTTGACTGTAATACTGAGTGGAGACTGATTTTTCTCCTCAGTAACACTGCTATCCTTTGCTTGTGCCATGTTTTTCTCTTCTGACGATGTCTCTGTCTGGATCGCATTTATATCGGGATACATTGCCGTTATTCCATCAGTAAACATATCAATATTATCAACCAGATCAGAATGCTGTAAACAAAAAATTAACATACAGAAATTATCATGTTTGTGAAAGGTAAATATATCATCATTATTAACCAGATCAAAATACTGCCAAAACAACCATGTTTGTGCAAACTAACACAATCTAAATATTTATGCTCGTAACATGAAAAGATTCTACAGTTTTCAATTCATTTTAAGAAATGTAAATTTCTCTGACCCATTGCTGGCTTTACTTTGCTATGAAGCATCAACAAGAGTATCAGTGAATCTGATGAATGCTCCTTGAAAACGACTTTATTGGATACAAAATTTTAACAAAGGACAATAAATCTCTAGGGGTTACAGACCCTGAATTTTGTATACACCAAGTTTCATTATCCTAGCTTAAATGCAAGCAAAGTTATGATCCTGACACAAAATTTTAACAAAGGGCATAACCCTTCAATTTAGGAGTCAAGGACCCTGAATTTTATACACTGCGCATCACCAAAGTATGAACAATATGTGTACACCAAATTTCGATATCCTTACTTAACTGTGGGCAAAGTTATACCTCAAACACAAAGAGATGGACAGAAAGAAGGATGGACCGGCACGACAGCAACTATATGCTCCTTTGAAAATTTTGGGAGAACATGAAAAAGGATCATTACTATGCAGTATGTATGGAGTGATACATGTGCCCCAATTTCAGTAAATGGTACTCTGCTTTCTGAGGAGGTAAATATGGTTATTCAATTACTACTAAATGGCAGGTGACTTTGTAGATATGCTTAAGACCATATGACACAAACTTAATAAAGGGCAATAACTCTGCATATCAAATAGCAGGTAAAGTGATGTACAAAGTATTCAATACACCATCATTCTGAAATGTTCTCAAATGCAATACCTGGTAATTGTAGATACAATAAGTACAAAGTAACAGATGCATACCTTTACATCAATGACAAATGCTGTGATAAATTCTATTTCTGATCACAATGATCTTTGTCCAATAACAGAGACATTACAATTTGTCCAAGATATAACCAGTGGAAATATTTACATGGATTGTCATCAAAATCAAGACTGCTAGAGTGTAACTGATAGACAAAACCTGCACAGTATAGAGTTTACAAATAATCTATTTATTGTCAAATCAATGATCAACAAACAATGTAGAAGGAGGTACCTTTGATAAAACAAAAGATTTTAACAAATTCCACCATCAACTGGACTAATCGGGTCTCCTATCATAACCAGAATATCCTGAGAAATGAAAGTAGATGTGGATGGTGGGTAGCTTATTATATTTGTATGGATGACCTACCAGGTTAGTGACATCTTCTGGCAAGGACAAATCCTCAGGCATGACCAACCTCCCAGGAGTAGATGTACTGGCCTGTTCCCCAGGGTTTACAACACTTGGCCCACTTGATGGGGCTGCAGTCTTAACATCCCCCTTCTTGACTATCTCTGTCACATCGTGGATGATGACGCCTGAACTCTGGTCCACATAGTCATTCGACTCAGATGCAGGCTACAGACATAAAATACACACTTTTTTAGACTTACAAATTTCACATTTTTCAAACAAAGTCTTTCTGTATTTATACCTAATCTTTAATATAAACTTGAAAGATAATATTAATTCAGCCGTTAAAGAAGTTCTTAACATAACCACTAAGTAAAGAAATATATATAGCACCTCATTTTCTCAAACATTGTACTTTAAATATCCCAACATACAGCTCACTTTAAAAGTCACTAGCAACAGACAACACTTCTGGCAGGAAAGCACATAATGAAGCTACTATTTCTACTACATCATGTAATATGAACTTTCATCAATGACGTTCATGTTTAAATTTTTATCCCAAGGAAGTACTTCAGTCAGAAAGCTGATGTATAAAGCCTGAATTTTATCGGCTCATGGGTACTCGAGATAGCTTACAGAAAATGATTTTCTAATTCTGAGTATTGACAGTGCTCTCCAGACTATTCAAACACTTTCATCCAAAGTTGTCATACCAAATTTGAGGTAATTGGAAATATATGGAAACTAAAGCCATCACACAGACATCAGTTTTCTATTCATAGCAAGTGACCTTGACCTATCATCCTGAAAAGCAACTCCTAGCAAACACTTTCAGAAAAGAGACATTATTATTACACAAGTGATGTCTACTGACACAATTGACACCAAGATCCTCATATGTTACCTCAAATGGTTACACAGAAATTTATATTTCTGATATGCGTAAACTTCTCTTCTGAATACAGAAACATGTTGCAAATACCTACACTTTGTACAGAGTAATTCTGTGGAGTCTTAGCAGGCATGGGCGGCATACTCTTGGTATATTTAGCCACTTTATTGGACGGTTCCTCTGTATCACCAATCATCAGGGGCATACCCATCTTCCTCTTCATTCCAGAGAGACCCCGGTTACCCCCAACCATGTGCACTAGGAACTGGATCAACTGCAAAATTAAAATCATCTCTTATGTTTCTCTCAAAATATATATAATTTAAAATAAGTCATCTTTGATTTTCAAATTGTTCAAAAGGAACAGAATCTGAATTGATAGACAGTCTATGGAAAGTTCCATTGCACTTGCCAAGGACATAAAATCAATATATTGATGCTCATATAACATGATATACATAAATGCTAAATGCCTTGTTGAACCTCTTACTGACAAAAATGGCTTTTCAGTAGTATATTTCATATTAACTACCAAGTAAAACCTATTGTCTGACATCAAACAAAGAGTGATTGGCCTGGAACCTGCATTCTCAGGAAGAAATAAGTTTTTTTCAATGATTGCTAGGACAGTTTTAGATGGCTAGTGACATTTCATTTCATTTCAACGACTTTAACTAACAAATGATGGTAAGTCAAATGGATCATAACTTGTATGTTTTTTATAAAAATTTTCCCATGGTTGGCAAGAATATCAAATCAAGAGAACAGGAGGAGAGATAAATTTCACAAATGTATTTGTAAATAAAATTTAGAAACACTATAATGATTCAAGGGAGATAAATCATCAAACATCAAACTGTTAACAATATATTTGAATGATATATATCTAGCACACATGACAGTTATTGTAGTATATTGCTATACTGACCTTGTTCACAATTTGTTGCTGTTTGATATGTTTCTGTCTGAGTGAAGCCACCTCTCTCCACAGCAGTTCATTCTCCCTACAACCAGCAACACCATTACTATCATTATAAAATACCAATAATTCAATGTGAAAACTCAGTTCTTTGATATAGTTGATATGTGTGTAAAAAAGTAAAACCAGACTTTCACTAACAGGGAAAAAGGAAAAAATTCAACAAAGAACTTGTCAATTGAACAGCTAGATCCAAAAAAGAATGTTAGTTTTTATTATGTTTTAAATATTATCAAACATTTGAAAAAGAATTATTTTATTTTGAAGACTAATAGAAAAAACCTTTTGACAGTATCCAGTCGATTTGTCAGAGTATCCTGCCTGCCTTTGAGGACCACTACCTCTGTCAGAACTTTATTCACATCATTTGGCATTGATGGGGTCTCAGTCTTCACTATTGGCACCGCCTGTTGGTTGGATTTCAATAATCCCTTGTTACTGATCACAATACATGCATACAATAAAAAGTAGTTATCCATAACTTCACAGTAAAAATTACATACAAACATTCTAAAACTATTCAAGTTAATCATTTCAAAACTAAAATTTGTTACTGTTTCAAAGTACTATTTTACTGACTCAATTGATATTTCCGTCACCTTTAAACATTAAAAATGATTGAATTATACTCACCCCACTAATCTTTCTCTTTATATTTTCCAGTAAGTGTTCTTGACCCCTGATGAAGTAAGGATGCTGAAATTCCACATCATCTTTCTCCGTCTTTAAACCAGTGTCAATATGAACCACCTTACGGAAACCATCTGTCACATTTAAAACAGAAATTTGAGGCTGATTGTAACTTAATCATCAATACACTATTTAGTGTGTCAACTACAATGGTTCCTTGGTTCCCGTCAGTATTAAATAATTGTTGATAGAAAGACAATGACAGGAAGGACCTTCCATGACCCCACAGGAGACATGAAATATCTGTGTGTCATGATAATTTTTCACCTTTGTAAATCAAACTTTAAAGCCACTGCAAGTTTTGTATTTGTGCCATTTGTGATTGGTTCCAATTATGAAGTGAATTACCCTTAATTAGTGGTCTTTGTGAGTCAGACAGCAACAAATTGTTGTATTACCGAGGTGACCAATACAAAGATTTACATAGAAAAATAACAGGACTGAAAAAAGTGCCGGTAACAGCAGAATGTTTGTAATTTTACAATTTTTCTAAAATACTTGTATCTCGGAAATCTGTGTACATTTATAATTAATTCCTTTCCCATTGAAATTTTTAAAGCACATGTACAGGTTTCTTTTTTATTAAAGATTGGCATTTGAACCCAAAGCGTGAAATAAATATGCTTCCCAATACAAATGAATCTTTTTCATAACAAAATGTGCCATCATTAAACAGTCTTCAACAGGATCTCTGCTGTACTGGGCTTGTTTTAATTACAGATTGTAAGTCCCATACAAGCCAAGCATGCAACAACAATGATACTTACACATATTGAGTTGACGAATAAAGCTAGCAATGTTGCTATGCTTAAAGTATAGGGGTAGAATTTCCTTTGAAAACCTTGCTTGCTCGTAGACATGGAAACTGTTTCCAGTCTGAAAAAGAAACATCAAAGTGTATATAAACAGAAATGCTTTATTTTCTTTTGTTTTATCTCGAAAAAAAAGAATTTTTTTGATGTCTGCAGACCTTTCAGGGACTAATGTTTATTTTGACATTTGTTGCAGTGTCATGATCATTTGCTTCTATCCTGATTACTACACTACTTAGAGAGCTTTCCTGTTAGAGGGAGAAAAAAACCAACACATTTCAGAGTCAGTGGTCAGCTTAGTCTTTATTTAGGTGCTTTGCAATACAATTTATAAATAATACAAAATTGGGAGACTGACTGCCCTTGATGGTGTTAGGACATGTAGAACATTTCTTCATTTTACAACAATAACTACAAATGTGCCATACTTTTCCCTGCATTGGGGTGTATATAAATGCATTGGAAAGGATATTGTATGGAATGAAATCTATGCAAAAGTTAGTAAAATATTTGAACACAATGTAAATGAGAACATATATATGGCATGTGAAAACACTGGAAAGGTCTTGTTATATCTAGTCATATTTGTCTATTCTGACTTCCATCAAATCAATAACTCCTTTAACTTTTTAGGTAAACTATATATATGTGTGAAAAACACCTATGGAATTTTGTGGTTAGGATGGTTTTTGAAAATAGTGAAAAATATAGTATCAAAATTTTATAGTCTGCTGAAATTTTGCATAAAGTTTTGCAACATGTATATAACCTGTGCACAAACAATCTGTTGAGTACACATATATATTACAGACAAACTCAATGAAAAAGCAAAGAAGAGGAACAAAGCATCTGCCTCAAGTTCAGACAGTTTTTACAGAGTGACATAGTCATTACAAAAGTTTAAAAGTCGCCAAGTGCATCAAAACTTTGGGCAATCAGACAACGTTACATTTACTCAAAATAAATGTCTAATTCAAAAAAGTTCAACGACATCGAGATGACAAATTTGAAAGTCCTAGAAGATAAAACTAACGACTATTATAGAAAAACTAGGTCTCGACCAGGTCACATGGTTGCATCATCTTAAAAAAATGCTACTAAGGAGGATTCGGAGGCTGTGAAAAGATATATAATAGAGAAGCTTATTCCAGAAGTAGAGAATACTTGAGACATTTTTTATACATTACTATTATTATGAACAATATGATCGAAAGAAAACAAATAGTAGAGCAAGTTACCTCCCCTGGGTCTATGTACAAAAACAGTCGGTAAATTATTGCAGACATTTCGACATTTTATTTTGACTGAAGTAGTCTTAAAAATATGTAGTAACATCGCTGGCAAAAACTCAACAATTAGTTACAGTGAACACTGTACAACTGTCTCTAATTTCACTTTACCTGGACAGCCATGTTTGGGAATTTTTCAGTCTCAGAATCGCACCAAAGAATTTTATTATAATAATTTACCTGATCCCAGCATATTAAGTCGTCGCATGTTGGATTTTCCACGAGAGCCCAAAGCTTCGTTAAGAAGGCTGGAACGTTTGAGGATGACATCCCGGAGGAACTGTGCATTTTATTCCTTTTTCATAGACATCACTGCTTGCAGTGCAAATTCATTATCATCACTGCGCATGCGTGAAATCATCTTCTTCCGGTAAAGTGGTGATAATGCCGGTATACATACATTTTTTATACTATAGACATCACTTCAAAAAAGTGTAAATAAGAATTAAATACTTATCAAGAACAATAACACTAAAATAATTTCCGTCTGTTTGGTATAAATTTGATTGAAAATGTGTTTGTTAGATTGTGTTATACCATGTACAATACTAAATAAATATTTTTTTTAAATAATTACGAATAATCACTTTCATCACTGACCTCGTTTTATCTATATTTATATAAAATTCAGGAGGTATCTTATTTGGTGTCAAATATTTATTTCCATATCATTGGAAATTTACACAGTCCAAAATAAACCTCAAAAACGCGAAATTACGGTGGCTGGTTTAGGACACACATATTTCTTTATTTCAGTCGAGCGCTCGACTTACTATCTCGAGCCCTCGACTTAACTTTCTCGAGCGCTCGACTTATTATACGGTTAACATGTATCAAGTTACCACATGGATGTAGATGTGCAGGTAGGTTTATGTTTTTCACTCGTATACCTTACAGTGCGAAATTTAGCGTCGATATGACATATTGAGTCGAGCACTCGAGATAGTAATTAAGTCGAGAGATCGAGATAGTAACTCTAGCGCTCGAGATAGAAAGTCGAGCGCTCGACTTAAATAAAAAAAAAATATGTGTGTCCTAAACCAGCCACCGTACGAAATAACAGTGAACCATACAAAACAAATGCACAAGATGAGGTACCGTTTTACTTCAGTGTGTGTGTGTGTGTTTTTTTTTTTTTTTCAAATGAATAACCTTGACCAATTTTTAAGGAAACCTAGGTGTGACGTGTAAAATATCTTTGGACGACATTTTGCTGATATTGCGCTTGTGTCATGGTGGGATGAACAACGAGTGAACAACGCAACAAAAAGCACAAACTAAAGAACACACAAAATAAAGAGATTTTTGGCTAATTTATGTATTGGATACACTAAACAAGATCATTATATTTTATTAATTTGAAACATATAAAATATAATAAATATTTAGATTTTTTTTATGTTTTCTGGCAGTAAGAATCGTGTCCCTTGCGTCGTAGCCAACAGGCCTCTTATCATTTCTGAGAGGTTAGGGGTCGCCTGAATGTTACTTTCAAGACCCGAGACCCATCTTATCAGTCAGTCTAAAAGTTTATATCAGTGATATAACTGATTTCTTTTATGTCTATTGTGGGTTGAATTAAACGACAAGGATTACATAAATATAACTAATGTAACATAGAATGTTTCCCTGATAGAAATTTCGATATGTCTGATATTCTGACTGTTTGAAGAAAGTAGTCAATCGGCAAGTGTCGCTGTCCCGCCCCACGCCACTCTTCCCCCCGAAACATGCCGACTACCGGGTCTCGAGATTTCTCAGTTGTTCATTAACTATGTGTTTTAATCATTTGCTTGAGGACATCAGTTTACGTGTTCGCATTTCACCTATATGGTCGGGGTTCTATTCGCCGATCGGATATTCGGAGATGGATATGCCAGTATGGGGTCACCTGCACGACAACGTGTGCACCCCCACTCCCCTCCCCACTCCATTGGCTACGCCACAAGTGTGTTGATGGTTCATCTTCCTGTGGGTGGTCAGGATCATTTTGAGGCTGGGTCCTCATGAGGTAGCTGGCGGTTACCTTACTGAACAACATAGGGAGACCCAGCGCATGCTATCCAGAACGATTAGTGTCAACCTTATTAGCAAAGATCGGTCCATTTCTGAGCTTCATGATTCAAGATTCGAGATGTTTATATTCAGTCATGCCACGCGTATTTATATATTACATATACAGTATACATTTGTATAATGTAACCTCTCTCTCAAAATTTGTCGGTTTCTGACCTAAAAACACCTTGCCACTAATATGCTGCTGATCGGACTTTTGGTTTATCAGTCTTTTAAAGGTTTTGACAAATTCTGCCACTGTGACTTTGCGATACCAGCCAAATATAATGCATCTACGCTTTGTTTAATTAGAAAAAAAGTTGTTGAAAGGTCTGGACACATTTGACCAATGTGACCTTGAATATCAGCAAAAGCCGTTTCCTTTTGCAAACTTTGTCGGGCTTTTCCCGAGAGAACTATCAGTCAAATATCATTTCTCTTTGCATTTTGCTTAATCAGAAGTTGTTTCAAAGTTTTCACAAATGCTTGCATGAGCCCCGGTGACCTTGTATATGGGTCAAAGACTTTTTTTCAAACCCTTGTTGGGCTTCATCCCAGATCAACCCAATATCGTGCTTTTAGGCTGTTTATCAGAAGAAATTGTTAAAAGGTTTTGACACATTGGTGTCCGTGACCTTGAACATGGGCCAAGGTCACTTCTTTTCACAAACTTTGTCCGAATTTATCCCAACCAACCAAATACCATACTGCTCGTACTTTCGGTTCATCTTCTTTAGATGAGGGTATTGCGAAGTCATTTACAGAGAAAGTTGATATCCGACGGCCATTTGACATTTAGACAGGCAAGCCAAAAATGGCAGCCAGAGTCATCTTGGAATTTCAGTAAGTTTGTTATTGCCATTTCCTGAAGTACTGAAGGAATCTTTGTCTAGGTATGCACGTTTCACTTTCCGCTTAATTGCTCATATTCAGAGTAAAAGGAGAGAAGAGAAAAAATCAAACTAACAGAGACCTAATGAAGACCATACAATGGTGGTTGTCAAGATCCCTTTGGGATCTCTTGTAAAATGAAGATACCTCTTTCAAGAGAGCTCTTTATTGGTTTTCCTTAGGCCTGTTATATTTGACTAGTGTACCTAATTAAAATGACAACTATCAACAATCCAATCACTATTTTTTATTGATATAACATATTTAAAATGTAAAGAAAAATATCACAAAGATCAATAATGCTTAATATATATATATATTAATTTACTTTGAATATCAGTTGACAATATGAATTGTACCAAAACCAGATAGACACTGAATGGATTTAAAACTTGATTTTTCAAAATCTACAGAAAAACAAAAAATTGAAAGATGTACCAGAAAATAAACCTGTTAGTTTTGAATGCAATAAAAGAAGTAAAATGTATATAATATTTCCATATTGGTACTATAACTCCATATAAATATCACATCCCTATACAATATTACCCATATGTCTTATGTATCCCCTATACTGTATAAAGAATTACATCCCAGTATCATTAAGATATTAAATCACTGTATAAAATACTAAATACTGTATAAAATTACATTACAGAAAATTTGGTCTACATACTTTCTGTTATACTGTAAGTGGAACAGATTCATCAAAAATCTGTACAAATTTGTGAAAAAGTGAATAATTGACTGATTGTCTTAATCAAGAATATCACAAACCTTCTGAGTAATTATCAAGTATTTGCAAAATGGCCAAAAAAATTTCATGCAGTTTTTTCTCATGAAAGTAATGAACAGCATTTTCAAATGCTTCAAAAATATGTTTTGCATTATTGGAAAACTTGAATGACTCCAAGCTTTCTGTTCAATACATGTCTAATTGATGGCTATTGTCAGTAGATCCTGAGTCACACTTATCTTGCAATAAGCCCGAGGAGTCAACATACTCTGACTCAAAGTCTTGGCCTTATTGCAGGACAATAAAATGACACATTGTAATTCTATTTAACACTCTCTCTCTATAACACTAACAAAGTTAGACTATTAACTACTAAAACCAAATTTTCTCCATGGCCTTTTTATAATATAAAGAAAATATAAAAATCATATTCATGATCATCATTCTTCTTAAAAATGTACAAATATTTGTAATTCTTTTTTAATCTTCCTTCCATAAAAGCTGAATTGCAATACATTTTCTCTTCCTTATTAAAATAAAAGTATATAAAGATCTTTGTAATTAAAAATATCTGATTTGTTAAAAGATTAATACCTGAGTGTTTCAATGCTGCCAAAATCAGTGGAAAGGAGAAAGAAATTTAAAGTTTAAAATATGCACTAATGATAAAAAGTTTTATATTTATGTAAATAAATTCTTAATGATATTCTTTGTGGTTGGTTTCCATGTCTTCATCTGCCTGAGACTGAAGTAGCCATACTTGACCTTGCTGTAGCTGTGTTTGCCTGTGTAACCGTAGGCAATGCCTTCCTCTGTAGCTTTGTGGGTCTGCACCAATTTCTGTCCTGAAATTAAATGCCAAAACTAAACACCAAGGACTTCTAGAAAAGGTCTATTGTAAAACTCACCAGCAATTATTTAAAGTCAACAGTGTTGCTTCAAATTAGTATAATGGTTACAAGTCATGTTTTAGCTTACTAACCTTTTTCAAAGCTGAGGCTGGTGTTATCTGAAGAACTGTGTGTCACAAGAGCTTTAAGTAGACGACATTGTTCTAGGGGTACACCATGGTAAGGGTATTGGGCCACGTCCCTCTGAGAAATGTCCTGCTCCATCTTGTTTACAGAGACTTGCTCTTCCTCACTGCTTACCCATCCTTGTCTACAGACATGAGGTGGTGGAGCATCATCTTCTTCATCTGAATCCTGGGAGGGCATAGAAAACTTCCTTACTGGTGTTTCCTCGTCAACAGGTTGAGGGGATATTGTTATACTGAGTTCCTGCACTGTAGACATTTCCTCCTTTTTGACGGTTTTTCTCACTTTCTTGGGATTTTTTGTTTGTTCCATTCTTTCATGAGTCATCTGTCTAGATGTTTTGTTGATGTTTTCATCTGTTGTTTTAGTTTTGGAAAGGTTTTTGACCTTGTCATTGGAATGTTCACCATCTGATGTTAAAGCAAACAGAATAATGGAAGTAGGCATAAAATTTGAATAGCTATGAGAAATAATCTGAACATCTGAGATGACTTTAAGATGAAACTGACTTTGACTATCTTCCTTCTTTAAACCTGATCTAGCATTACAACTACATGAACCTCTTTTACTTTTCTGAAATTCTCTTTTAGTATATACTAAACTTTCACTTAAACAAAAAATGAAATGATGCAGATGTGCTCAGAAGGGAATGTTAAACATTCCTAATCTAAGTACATCACTGGCAGACATGACACGTTCATCCTCTGAACAAAAAGAAAAAACAATAGGTTACAATTTATCATTCATCAACAAAACATTGAACTTTTAATTACCATTTGAACCTTTGGAAAAAGAAGATTGTATTGACGAAGATTCTTGAGGAGAGGAAGTTGTAGAATCAGTATTGGGAGATCCGAACATCTGTCTGTATACAGGTTCTGGCGCAGTAGCTGTCTCTGAAAGTCCCATTTCTCTCAGCTGTTCCTGAAAAATCAATAGTTCTTTGAAACCAAATGTGTTTTAGAAAACAGTTTTTTAATGCAATACACCAATGATCAGATGGTTATCAAATGATTAATATACTTAAAACACACTAGTTTACACATTTTGGATACCCAATTTTTCACTTAAAAGTTTTTTAATGTAAAATTCGGCATTCTTAAACATATGGTTTTTAACTATTCATTGAGAAAGACGTTCTAATTAATCAAGGTAACATTAAATAAAAAAATTTTTTTGCAACATCATTCAAAAGGTTCTCATTAAAGGTTACATACTTATGAAGGATTCAGATATCTTGGACAAGTTTTAGGGTTATTAGATCAAGGTCACTGTAGTTATTTTTTAAAAGTCATTGTCAGTGCTCTTGCGACTTCATTCCTCCAGAGAATTTTCATCAAACCTTACACACTTTCATACCATTAAAATATCTGGAACAAGTTTGGGTTTCAGGGTTTTGGGTTAATTAATTTTGACACAAACTTACAAACAACCATAATATTTTGGTAAAGTTTGAGTTTCAGGGTTGTTTTCCAAATGTACAGCACTGATTTTATAAATCAGTAAAATGTAACAGCTTGCAGGGGCCAGTAGGGGACATGTATTGCTAAACACATGCTTATTATCTAAAATTGTTCTATGTTTAGAACTTACTGCGATGTTTGGAAATTTGTAGAAAAAGGCATGATCTTTTGTCTTCAAAGACACCTTGGGAAGGTCAATAAATCTTGGTGATACTGATGCCATCAAGTCAAGTGTTGCCTGTGTCTTTTCAGTTCTGTAATCAATTAATTAAGATTTAATCAAAATTTCTGACTTAAAAATGTTTTTAGTGAAACTGTTAAAAGCAATATTCAAAACAGAGAATATCTAGTGAGTATCACTTTTGTTATTCTATATGTACATGTATAGGAGCTGTTGAGAAATAGTAGCCAAAACCAGTCACAATGTGTTGTCATTAAGATAATTGAAAAACAGGAAGTATTTATGACAGGTCAAAATATTTATGTGACAATAAGCCCATTCATACCAAATGGAATTACAGTAAAAATGTCTACAAATGTTAATATCACTGTCCTGTAATAACCCCTACCTTACCCTACACCTTATTTGAGGGCCAGGTAATGTGTAAGACTCATTGCAGGTAAGAGCTATGACATTTCAAATCTTACCTGTTGGTTTCCTGTTGGTTCAATATCTGTACAAATTTGTTCATGGCAGCATTGCTAACTTTCACTCGTTCTTCTTCAAATTTTTCTATTTCTCCTGCAATCCTGATCATACCCTGCGATAAAATTTACAAAAGGTGTTTTCCTTACTACTGTCTGAGAGGTTTATAATTCAATGGCTGATTTAATATGTATGGGAAATAATAAATGATAATTATTATAACCAAATCCTTTATTGAAATATTTGGAGGAAAATGTCCTTCAAATGAACCTGTAATGTGTAGACTGTCATACTCTGATCAATCATCAATGTACCGGGTAACAGTGTACAAGTGGTGACGGGTAACAGTGTACAAGTGGTGACGGGTAACAGTGTACAAGTGGTGACGGGTAACAGTGTACAAGTGGTGAAGGAAGGAAGAGATAATATATATGATGCCATATCTTAACATTACAAGTACTGATAGAACTGCAAATTTGTTAGAACATCAACATTATGTTAACAAATTTTTTACCTCTTCAAGGAATTTCCGACTTTCGGCTTCTTCTATCATTAACGCCTGGCACTGTCTCAGAATTTTATCAAGATGATTGATCAATTCCTTTTCCAACCCTTTAAGAGTTCTCTGCTCTTTGATCTGACGGGCTGATACATCTACATCCAAATTTACACTTATCTGTAGGGCAGCTTGAACATTTTGCAGTTTCTTCTGGCATGATGTCAACTGTTCACGTACCTTTGTCAGTGCCTGGATTATGAATAAACCATTGTCATTACTAAGCTAATTTATCATCCTGGATTAAATGAAATGATCAGCTATGATTTATAACAGTGGAAGAAAATCTTATATTTGATATCACAATATATTTACACACTTAAAATCATAGGCAAATGCAATAACACATTTTAAAAATTACCTTTTTCTCCTTTTTCAAAAGTGTTATTTTGCTTGCATGGTCATCAAGCAAGTTGGAATACTGTTTTTTCAATTCTTCTGGTCTACTTTTTGTTGTAGGATTATCTAACCATCTGTTTTAGAAAAAGAAACCTTTTATGCTAGTAATGAAATTATTTCTATGTTTACCAAAACAGGCTTTTCCCCCATGACCCTCAAATTTAGGCAGTTTAAGGGTTGGATGATTCTAATGATAGATGATAAAGTGTGGTGTTTTTTTTTTTGTTGTTTTTTAGTATCAATTTTGGAAATCCTTTGTTAAATTAATGTGTCAAGAGGTAGTTAAGTAGAGTCAAGGAAAACCTTTCCAATGTATGAGAATGCCTACAGGAAAACTGCACTTCAAAATAATTGTTTCGTTAGATTACTATAAGAATTATACGTCAAATGTTACATAAAAATCATTTTTTCAGACCATTCATTAGTAAGCTAGAGACTTTCCTGAAGGCAGAATCTTACCTTTTCATTGTTTCATATGGTCCATTAACTTCTGCTAATTTGGACACCATGCCCTGCTGAAGGATGACAGTACTTTTCATGTAAGCTTGGTATTTCTCCTTAAAATTCTCGAATAGGCCATACTTTGATGCTGCGAACAATACCAGGTACAAAAATAAAGTAGTTACATCAAGGATCTTACAATACTATCACTTTATATTACCATAGAAAAAATATCATTATTTTTAAAATTTTCCTTAGGTTTGATTACAGGGATATGATTCTTTATGAAAAATATTCTCTAAGGGCATAGTACTATGTGGTGTTAGCAGATCGTGAAATGCGTTAAAAACTCTCTTCTGTCTTGAAGAAAAAGCATTTGTATCACATATTTTGCCAGCATTATATTTTTAACATTCTATCAAGGGAAGTAACTCTGTATGACTTGTGATGTATTGAGAGTTTGTTTCTGAAACTGAGAACACTTTGTGTTAAGCATACAAAATGTATCTACGTCACACAGGTCATGAAATCATGCAAACTGATTGCCGGCACAACTACAGTACAAAGTTACGGAGTGATCAGATTCAAGCTAAAAGTGATCCTGTACAGATACTTACCACTATCATTCAACGATTTCAAAGTAGAATTAGTTTGCTTTTCTATAAGATGCAGTTGGGATGATTCATACCCTAGTCGGTCTTTGATGATATGCTTAATATGTCCGGCTATCCTGAAATAATTGTAAACAAAATATTAACACAATAAGCCTGGGGTTTCCTTGTCGGTCACAACGTTTTGTGCTACACAGACTTTTTTCTTCCACTGTCTATCATTATTAATCGATCATAAAATTTCAAATATGCCTACAGTAATTTGAACACAAAACAGAAACATTCTGACAGACACAGGCGGAAATTATTTCAGTTATATCATACGCACACATTACAAATGACTCCATACCATTTTACATTCTTATTCATTGTACAGCATCCCTGCGATCTGGTGCCAGTGATGGTAGGCCCGATGAATCTCTGGTTATCCTACATGATACGGCCTTGAAACCTTAACAAAATACTCTACATGCGTTTCTACCTTCAACTTTTCATCTTTAAATGATAAAAAAAACTTACTCTCGTCCCTTGACAAGACTATCAATTGTTTCTTCTTTCAGTATACGCATTCTACAGTTCGTTTTCTTCGGAGGACTTCCAGTACACGACTCCATGATTGGTTCACAAAAGAAATATGGCGCCTTAACAACCCACCAAAAGTCACGTGCAATAGCCGCGACATCTATTGATAAACTTTATGTAAAAGAGGAGGAAACTCTAAAAATAATTTTCATTACGCACAAAAAAAAAATCGCTGGCGATCGCGCTGTGATCAATACTATGAGATACCAGTTAGCTGCCTCAAACTAGAGTAAATTTGTGACCACATTGAATGCAAAACCCACTTGGTAAGGAACACAGTGGCGGAGTTATTTCGGAAAATAGTCTGCTTTGTCCGAAATGTACGTTTTTCATCCCATCCGCCCAACTCGCGTTCCCTACCCTTCCCCCGCCCACTTTGCTACCATGTTGAAGCTGTTCAATGTGCATCATTGTACATTCGGTAAAAGATATGGACAAACAAGGTCCTTTGCATCTTGATATCTGCCGGATTTCAGACAAATTGACCATGACTCGATCTGTTATTGCTGATGACTCTAAGTGAGTCAGTATCTAATCTAAGTAGCAATTCAGAGTCGTATCTGACTCATTAAATCGACCGATTTCGTCCAGGGGGAAGACACAATCCACCCGATGTTTATGTACCTTATTTACTATAAACAAGCTATCAACTTGTATACATCACTGCTGATGGCCTGGATTGGGAAATGAACCATGGTTGGTTAAATGAAATGCGAGTGCGTAACCACCGCGTTTTCCGACCACCTTCTCTTTACTTTAATCTCTTCTTTCAGAATACATCGTAGATTAGTGTTATATTTAAGATATTTTGATCATAGAAATAAAAGTTTGTATATCAGAAAAAAGTGGTAAGTAGGTAAATGAAAGAAAAACTTATTTTAAAGATAAAGAAGAAACGGATAATGGTGATAGACTGCCAGATATAAATTTGAAAATTGACAATATACAAGAATCCCTCCTAGATGTATCACAATATGAATGACATTATATAACTTACATGTTACAAGACATCACGGATCCACATTAAAATCATCTATAAAATCGAACATTGTTACGGCTTTTAAGTGTATTAATATAATAGAAATGTTCGCAGCTTTGATGAGTTCAAAGGTCACACATTTTACGATGCCATACTGGTTCATATCAAATAGAAAAGTTAAGCTTTTTTCAAGACCTATTGAAAAGCAAATATTACAAGGCAAGCTAAGATGGTCTCAATACACATTCGTATATATGGTGAACTAGTTGATCAGTAATAGTTTATCAGTAACCATTTGGAGTTATTGTTGTTTTTATGGGATGTTTAACGTCCTGTTAACAGCCATAGTTATACGAGGACAGAGGTAACAGTTCGGACCAAGTGATTCACTCGCTAAAAACACTAAAATTTACTTAGTAAAGTGCCACATACAGCGTACGTCCTTAAGCGAGACAGAACTGCAAAATCAAAGCTTTAACCTCAAGAGATGACATGTTTTTAACAACTATGTGTTATATGTTATCATTTCAAAGCGAGGTTTTATATAGTGAAGTAATTTGTTATAACATTTATTGATACTAATTAATGTTTGGGATCAAACTAAACTTTGGTCGACCTGTTTTTATTTCTATACAAGACGAAATGTATAATTAATGTATGAACCTATTTATCAATAATTCTAAAGACTGCCTACGTCATATGAATGTTCCAACATTCAAATTGTAAATAATATTTAAAAAAAAAAAACTTTATGAAAATTAAATACATACGTGACTTTCAAATTGTAAGTCACAGTTCGGATGTTTTGGTTCCTAACAGGAAACTGACCGTCAAGTTAGATTTCATTCATGCAAATTTATTTATTATATTGATCCGTATAAATCAAAGATATCATCGATCAAAAATCTCCTCACATATCTTACTTGACATTTAAACATATGCATTTTTGATGACTCTGCATGGATCTAGGCACTGTGGTTACCTTGTGATCGAAATGTGTTTGATATAAGAAGTGTGGTACTTTGAATTGTCTATCTTAATGATATACGAGCTAACGGAATTATGTAATTACCTTTTTAAATTGGTTTAGCCAATCCAAATTCTTACTTGATTCCGTGTGCTTTAAAGTGTTGGTCGGCCTCGCCGTTTCCCGGATATCACAGCAACTTTATATCTGCGACAACGTGTCGCATATATATCAGCTGACGTTACGCTTGACTATTCTTCCGGTACAAGATGTCGAAAACTGCAATATCATGATGATGGGTCGTCGAACTTCTTACAGGATCAATGTTCGGTATGGTGACACCACTTTAATGTATGCATCCTCACATATCAAATGTATATATAACCATCAAAACCTTCACCATAAGTGTATGATATTAATATCATGACCCTGCTTACGAGACCACCCAACCCCACCCACATCCCTACCCCATCCCTAAACCCAATCCATCATTTACCCTCATCACCCCAATCCCCAACCCCCATCCACAACAGTCATCCCCACCCCCATCCCTACCGCACCATACCCACCCCGTTCCCTCCCCATCTGAGTACGCAAGGAGTAAATTTGGACCCAAATGATAAATTCCAAACTAATATTGAGCGGATTCATACAGGGATAAATTTTATTACCGTTGAATGAAAAGTTAATCACTTTCCATTGATATTGCCGAGTCATGGCAAATACATTCATCACAAAACTAAATGCTCATAAATATACATATACTGTACCTGCAAGGTCCTTGCAAGAAAATATGTATTTTTTTTTTTGGAATGAGAAGAAATTACAAGATATACATATAAATATTACCTAAAAGTAATAATTTTGAACCCAATGATAAGAACTGTTTTGAAAATTTTATTAATTATAAAAACACTCAGGGATAAAAGTTAACAGTAATGTTTCATTATAAAGCTATTTAAAGATAGCAATACAAATTAATTATGCTTTATAAAGAAATTTTATGAAATGACGCGTTCGTTTTTGGTTCTTTTCAAAGGTTGACAATTTATTGTCTAACTTCCTGAATAGTGGTGTACCTATACTGTTTCGTTCTTAAGCTCTTTGACCTTTAAACAAGTTTGACCTTGTCTACTAAATATCTCAATCATAAACTAAAAATGACTCGGTGTGTCTACTTCGGGAAAGTCTCCCGTGAATACTAACTACTTCTGACCTTTAAGATCTCGGAAGGTATGTATTAACACAATGAACAGAAATTTTGTTCATCATTTTCAAAACGACATTGGTTTAGAACGATGTGAAATGTCCGAGTTTTTAAGAAGAAAAAAATAAGCTGGCAACCTGCGCATGTCATAATGACAGTACAAGTTCCTGAGGAGTAATATTTTATTTTTTGCTACGCTTTGTGTTAATTGTAAAAAAATCAATCAAGAAAATTCCATCAACCATCGATTTCTGGCGAGGTTATGTGATTGGCGTCCTAAAGGAGATTCCGTTCTTTAAAAATCAAGGTATGTATGCGTGAATGTTCTGTTTAATCTCTACTTTTTCGAAATGTGATTAAAAAGAACACTTTAACTTTATGTGTTTTAAGTCAGATGTATCAAGCTCAGATAATCTAATGACATTTAAATGTTTGTTATACACGGGGAAAAGAAAACTGTTTCCAAATGAAAAATATCAAATTTTTTCCATTCCAACATTGTATTCATATATGTATGTGTTTTTTTTTTTAAATAATTAATCAATTTAATAGAGGTTATGATATCAAATGATCTGAGAGATGAAGCCGGAAAACAAAAAATGTATTCCTAAAACAGATGGCACGTCACTAAGAGTTAATTTCGACTAATTCTGTAAAATGAGACTGTTTGCCTAAATGAATAAATTTCAATTTAAGAAAATTTTCGTTTTTTTCCGGACACATTCCAATAAAATAAGTCTGACAGTTTTTTTATCAATCCGTTTTAATATACATGACTACTGTTGTAATGCTAAAATGAATGATATCCTTGTAATCTGTCTTTGTAATGACCAGAAAGTCTATAGCGAATTTCAGTATGTATACACGATAATTGGATTTTCTTTTTAATATTGCTTCATTTGCCGAAGAGATTCTTCTTGCGTCCCCAAAAGTTTGTTAACATTTGTCGTAAAACTAACCAATGATAATAATCGGAAGTTTCACTGCTAATACATAAATCCATACATATATCAAACTGCTGAAAAATCCGGGAATTGCCACTATAATTCGAATATTCGTTAACCAAGTAACCCGTTTATCCGGACATATGCTAATAAAGTAACCACTTATCTTTGAAAATTAGTCATATATCTGTAATCACCACTTACCCAGATCTTCGTTAGTCGTGCTATCTTATCTACGTGTCAAATGTTTCACTATCCGGGTTCGGTGATATGTTGCCTTCATTCTTCGTATTTCTTTAATTGTAGGATCCAACACATACAAATATTGTGGGCATCGATTTTTGTAATAATCATTAAGTTAAATATTTTCCTATTTAAAGTGGTATACATACGGACTTTTGGTTCTAATATACGTTTTAAAACAACTCTGCGCAATATTTTTTTCCTGTATCCCGGGATTCATGAACTTTCCGCAATTACTCAAATATACAAGTTACGCTACCAATTTGTTTAGTTTGATTTAAGAATAAACTCCGGGACGCGATATATTCTGTAAAGTTGTGGGCGGCGAAGAGGCAACCCAATCTCGGGCATGCGCATATCGCGCACGTGCTAAATTTAAAAAAGAAAACATGGATGATTCCGCGGCAAAACGAAAGAGGGCCATTTTCTGCCCTTTTCTCTTTTGTATACGATATTGAAAACACAAGTTTCAATGTTTACTAAACTCACTCTCACTGTCGCGTTAAGCCATTTTCTGCCGCAGGTGGCGCTGCAACTGTTGTGACTGCGCATGTTTCTCGTGCAAAATCCCGCGATCGGTTTTGATTGAGAGTCAAATGAGATTTTTAAATCGCGTCAATAAATGTGTTATAGTTTCTTTGATTGTTTATAATATTAATGAATATTCTCTTTTCATAATTTTCTAATCGTAGTTTAATTCATCCGCTTGAGAGACCTTTCAGTTGGAATGTATACCTCTTTAAACTTTTGTTTTCGTTCATTCATCGTTGATATCTTTGCTTACTCAGTCGATTGTCCTTTATTTATTTATTTATTTGGTCTAATATGTATTCTTTCATTAACTACTCTTTCAGATCATTTGAAATCATGATCCTCAACATTCATTATATTTTCAATGCGCAGATTCGTACTAATTTGTTTATCTTACTGTAGGTATATAAGCATTTAAATATATTTCGCACTAACTCATTAAATACACAATAAAACGTCTTCATTTAATAAACAAATATAAATATAGTTCTTAAAATAGTGGTGTTAATTGTGGA